GAGATACCAAATAATATACACATGGAAAATTCTGGAAGGCCAGGTCCCTAATCTACACAGTAAAATAACAACATACTGGAGTGAACGATGTGGAAGAAAATGAAGAATAGAACCATTGAAGAGCAAGAGTGCCATAGGCACAATCAGAGAACACTGTATAAACACCAAAGGTCTGTGGCTGTTCAACGTCCTCCCAGCGACTATAAGAAATATTGTTGGAACAACCGTGGACATCCGGACCAACCGGGCTGTGGTGGGTATGTGGGCCTGCGGGCCGCTCCAAGCAACAGCCTGGTGGACCACTCTCTCACAACTCAAGGCCGGGCTTGGGGAGTAGAACAACTCCCAGAATCCCATCAAGCAGGTATCCCTCGAGGGGAGCGGGGGGGTAGACCAAAATAAGTCTGACCAAGGCAAATAAGGCAAAAGGCAGGACCATCTCCACAGAAATTTGTATTTTATCCCATTCCCATGTGATGTGTACACAATAATGCTTACACATCAAAATGGGTAACATGTTTATAATGAAAGCTTATGAGTTTCAACAAAAATTTAATCAATGATCATCAAACATTTTCTAATATTCATCTATATTGTTATCAGGCATCAGGTCACCTGCATTGCTGGCATCATGTCACTTGCAGATGACATGACCTGCAAGAGTTCAGGTCATATCTCATGGTCATCAAGATTATGTCCAATTGTTTTATCATAACGAGATGTTTTATCATTGTTTTATCATAATAAAATGCAAGCACATAAAACTACAAATAATTGTGTTGGTAGTTATATATAATGCACATTTTAAGGGGTTTCACCAGCATAAGAATGTGTAGCATGTTTATAATATAACTAAGATTCTAACTGGCAACTGGAACTGAATCAATTTTAAACCTTGTGATATTTAGCTTATGTTGGGTTAGGTAAGGGTTGAGGTAAACTTAGGTTGGGTTGAGTTTTAAAGTGTTGCCTAATCGTTTTATGTACAATGTGCCTTGCATCCTGTGTACAAGTGAATGTAGGCTATTGAATGAATGAGTGGGGCCTATAGGGTTCAAGTTAGATGCATTATATGGATGAGTATGTGTCGTTGGGTTGAGGAGCTGGTGCAAGTTATATAATATATATATATATATATATATATATATATACACTAATGAACGTCCTTAAGTACTATGTTGACAGCTTGAAGCTGCTGAACCAAAAGGCAATTAATGTGTTGGCATGTTATGATTGAGACCAGATTAGAACTGGAGAGACAGGTAGACAAAAGCAAAGTATCATATGACAACTTAAGGACCCAAACATGTTTGGTAAAGGAACATTTCTTATAAGGTGCCAATTTCCAGTAGTGGGTGACATGATAATGGATTAAGATTAATGACAAATACAATACATCACTTATCCTGCAACCAAACTACAGTGTACTACAGTGGTACCTCGGAATGCGAGTGTCCCTGTATGCGAGTTTTTCGGAAAACGAGCAGGATTTACTCCAAAAATATGTCTCGGAAGGCGAGGGTTACCTCGGGACGCGAGTTTGTCGATACGTGTACAGGCCGACTGGCGCGTGGTGGCATGGCGATCGCGCCTCAGTTTACCAGTGTCCAGTGACTATCCCACCTGAATTCTTCACAAGGATTTACAGTTTTTTATCGTTTTTTTGGCCATTTGAGCATAAAAGTTGTCATTATATATCTTGCCATGGGTCTCAAGAAAGCCATTAGTAAGGTTCAACCTAAGAAAATAGCTGTGAGTAGAGGCAGTAGAGGATGTCCCTTCTTGATTAAGAAAATGTGTGAAGTATGGGAAGAACTGCAAAGTTTTGTTGAAAAAACTCACCCAGATAAAGCTGTAGCAGGCCGTTGCATTGACCTTTTAAATGATAATGTGATGTCTTACTACAGACAAGTGTTAAAATGTAGGGAAAAACAAGTGTCATTAGATAAATTCTTAGTAAAACAAGCAAGTCCTAGTGGTATGCAGGCAAAATGTGCCAGTGTGCATACCAGTGAAGTCCTCACTGCCTGATGTGATAATGGAAGGGGACTCCCCTTCCAAACAGTAACTCTTCTCTTCCTCCCACCTCCTCACCATCTTCCATACGCCTACAGCATTCAACAGCAAGGTACGTAATAACTTGAACAGAGTTTTGTAGGTTTATTTAGATGAATTAGGTATAAAAATTTAGTTTGATGTGGGGTTTTTGGGGTAGTCAGGAACGGATTAATTCATTTCCCTTTATTTCTTATGGGGAAATTAGCTTCGGAATGCGAGTTTTCGGAATACGAGGCGTCTCCAGGAACCAATTAAACTCTTAAACTGAGGTATGCCTGTATATATATATGGTTAACAGTGAGACATACTTATTCATAACCACTATCAAATCTACCAGCATCACTAAGGTCAATAAAAAATAATTATACTGGCATTTCCTATTCCTTTTCTGGTTGATTTCAAGAATTCTTCTATTTCTGTAGCCTGGCCTGTGACAAGCCTTTCCTGGTGACTGCCTGGTCTGTGAGGCTGTCATACTTGTATGTCATGTTTTTTAGCCTAAATCTGTATTGTCTTGAGCACAGGTGGGAGAGATGCACAATAATTTACACGTGGAAGATATTAGAGGGGCTGGTCCCAAACCTGCACACAGAAATAACATCACATGAGACTAGAAGGCATGGCAGGATGTGCAGAATACCCCCGTTGAAGAGCAGAGGTGCAATTGGTACTCTGAAAGAACTATCATAATCAGAGGCCCAAGACTGTTCAACACGCTTCCACTACACATAAGGGACATAACTGACTGACCCCTCACAGTGTTCATGAGAGAATCTGATAAGCACCTGGAGAGTCATGGATGCTTACACTATTCTCCAAGTGTGCGTAAGGCACCCTAACCTTTCATTAGGTTTATTTTGCACTTTTAACCATATCTGACTCCAGCATATTGTAATTATATTATGGAGATTTGGAACCTGTCCTTCCAGTATCTTCATGTGTGTAACATTTGTACTCAACTATCAGTGACTACAGGAGAGAGAACTATATCTAAGCCCCATCTCGTAGCGGTTTCTACCTGGTGCACTAATTACAACCATCAACATTAAAACTTTGATCACATTTTTTCTTGTGAAGTTATGGATGGAATTGGCTTCAATAACCTTTTCCTTCAATGTATTTCACTAGCCAATAACACATGAAGGATAAGCGGGTTTTCCTCATCTATGATCCAACTGCCTGTCCAGTGTCCACTAATGTCCGCATGTCCTACCTCCTTTAAATTTAAGTAAGCTTCCACTGTCCACGTGGTGTATGTAGGATTTTGTATGTAGTGATCATATCCCCTTTTTTCTCCTCTAAGGTTGTGAGGGCGAGTTCCTTCAAGCTGTACTCATCGCTGAGCTCTCTCAATTCTGGTACTAATCTAGTTGCAAATATCTGAACTTTAAGTTTCTTTTCTGTGCTTCATCAGAAAAGTGTTTCATACTGGCTCTACATACTCAAGTAATGGTCTCACAAAGGCAATATATAGAGACTTTGCAGCCTCCTTTTTCAGTCATGAAAGATTATGTTTCCTAGCTTCCCAAATGCTGCTGTTACAGTATCCTGTTCACATGAACTTCTGGTGTTCATGTTACCATTACATTTACTCTCAGGTCTTAATTCTCCATTTGTTTCTCTTAGTTGCTTTCCCCTTATGGTGTAGGTACTTACAGGCATCCTCACTGCCTTGCCCATCTTCATTATTTAATGCTCATTTAGAATGAATTCCAACAGCCATTTATCTGCACATTCCTGAAGTGTGCCCGGGCCTTCTGGCAGCACCCTACAGTCCTTTTCAGTTCTCACTCTCCCCATTAACTTTGCATTATTTGCAAACATTGTCATGCATGAGCTCACTCCCTATGGAAGGCCATTTACATGAAATCAAATTAACAATGATCTTAGAAAAGTCCTGTGGAATGCCATTTTCAACTCCTCTCCAGCCTGATATATCCTCTCTGATCCGTTGCTTCCTGTCCATCATGTACTCCAGTACACAGTCCAGTCCAGCCTGTTCTGTTATCTCAGCTTCTCTCTCCATTGTGTGTATTAGTCTTTTGCAGGGGACTATCATAGGCTTTCTGGTAGTCTACAATACACTGATACCAATTTTTATAAACATAGGAAGTTTTGGGTATGAATTATGTTCACGTATAAGGTATACTTTCTAATTATGGTTGACTTTACCCCTAGCAATATTGTGCAAGTGCTCAAATGGATATGTGGGCCAGTTTTTTGTGCACGTGTGTGGAAGAACCTGGAGAATGCGAAATTACACAGTTAGTATTGATAGATATGATAGAAAGATATTGAGAATACTAGACTAGAATATACTCAAGAATATTGGGAATAGGATGACAGAAGACCAATTTTCATAAGGCTTGACAAAGGTCTTTCTCCCGACATGTCTGGATGCCAATTTATAACTGTCAGATATAAAATATCTATAAAAATATTGCGGGAACCGAGCTGTGGTGGATATGTGGGCCTCCAAGCAACAGCCTGGTGGACCAAACTCTCACAAGTCAAGCCTGGCCTCAGGCCAGGCTTGGGGAGTAGAAGAGCTCCCGAACCCATCAAGCAGGTAACAAGCAGATACTAAGCCTCCGAGCACGTTCGAAAGGATTGCATCCGACACTCCCATGTTCCGTGCCAGATGTATCATGCAAAACAATTAGCATGAAGATTTGACTTGTATACAATGTTGCATGGTATGGTATTCCATACTGATTTTTTGTATAACCTTCAATGTCTGAAGAATAGTAACCCAACTCAAACCTTTAAATATACATTGAAAATACAGGAATGACATCACGAACATCAATATCATATTACACCAAAATAACTTATTAAACATAATGCAACTTGCCATGCACTGCATATATATATAATTCAAATTACAACTACAGTATACCAAATGTTGCAGAACAGTGATTCGAGAAAACATTCACTTTTAC